AAGAAAGAGAAACTTATATATGTACAAAAATAAGGGTTGATATGATGAAGGGTTGGAATATGACTGTAAACATGAAAATTATAAAAAATTTTATAAAAGGAATTGATAAGAAATTGTTTGAAAAAAGAAAGAAGAGGATTAAAAAAAAAAAGAAAAGGGAGAGAATGTGATCAGGCAGGGGAGTAGAAAAAACCATACACTAGAGATTTGGGGTATATTTTGATCTGTTGGAAGAAACTATCTCAAAATTTTAAAGAGAAAACAACTTATATATATATATGCCAAAAATACGGGTAACTACACTGAAGGGATAGAATATGACTCTAAAAATGAAAAATAAAAATGTTTTTTTAAAAAAGGGATTGATAAGATGTTGGTTGAAAAAGGGAAAAAGAAGAATTAAAAAAAAAAGACAGTTAAAAAAAATTAACTTTGAAAGACTAAAGAATCATGGTAAAAAAGCCATGAATTCTATGTGCAGTAGTCCCTTAGCGCTGGAGTTCTGCCTTTCTCATTGATCGGTAAACTTGGTCTTGGCTGGCTGTTCTCGCTGATCTTCTGGGGAGGGGCCTGTTGCCATGGTTTCCAAATGTCTCTGCCGGAGGCGGAAGTGCCCCGCCCTTGCCCCCTCCCGGCTAAGTAATCTGCTCGGGTTTGCTCTCTGGAGCTTTTGTTCCCTGAAAGCTTTCCATACAGCTTTGGAGCTTTGAAAATGGTGGCCTCCCAATCTCCGCCCCGGAGGAGCCGAGAACTCGGGGCCCCTCTCCTCAGTGAGCCCCCAGAGAAAAGCCGTCAGTCACTCCCGTCTCCCTGGTCTCTGGCTGCACTCCGTGCTCACCCGGCCTGTGACCGCGCGTTTCTATCTCTGGCACCCGACCCCGGGTGGAGTCTCCAAACCCAGCAGATCCCTGCGGTGCACTCCCGCGCGGCTCCTCCCCGGGGAGGAAGGGGAGTCTCCCCGGATCTGCCGCTTGTGGGGTCCCTGCTGGAGGAGCAGGGGCCCGACTGGGCCGCGGATCCCGGTTTATGGCCACCCCGAGCTGAGAGCCCGCGCCTGGGCTCCGCCTCTGCAGCCGGCTTCCCTGCTCCGATACCTGGGAGCTCTGCCACACTCAGGCACCCCCGGTCTTTCTGTGACCCCGAGGGTCCTGAGACCACACTGTCCCGGAGGGTTCCACCCCCCGCTTAGCCACCAGAGTGACGTCCCTCGGCGGAGCAGACTTTTAAAAGTTCCGATTTTGTGCTCCGCGGCTCTATCACTCGCCAGAAGCGGCCGACGGAGGCCCCTCCCCCGCCGTCTATCCTCCCGAATATCGCCTCGGATTCTCTTCTCCGCAGGTCCTACCTTCCAGAAATTGGTCGCTTTTCTGATGAGAGAGTTGTTGCTCTTCTTTTCTTCGATCTCCTGTTGAGTTTGTAGGTGTTCAGAATGGTTTGATCCCTATCCAGCTGAATTCCTGAGAGGAGACGAAATCCAGGTCTCCTATTCCTCCGCCATCTTGCTCCGCCCCCCCAGATTTGGAGCTATTAATAATTTTTCACACACCCTTCTGTAAGTCTCTGCATAATTATCTCCCCTAAGGTAGAAACCCTACAGTGTGATTGTTGGGTCAAAGGACATGTCATTTTTAATTTAAATGGATACTGCCAGATTGCCCTCCAAAAAGATTATAGTCTCATCATCAGTGCATGGAATCACTTTTTTTAATCTTGCCAACCATGCATAAAAACAGCCTAAAATTTTTGCCAATCAGTTGGGTGGGAAGGGGTATTTCATTGTTTTTTTTTTTTTTTTTTTAAGATTTTATTTATTTATTTGACAGAGAGAGACACAGCGAGAGAGGGAACACAAGCAGGGGGAGTGGGAGAGAGAGAGAAGCAGGCTTCTCGTGGAGCAGGGAGCCCGATGCAGGGCTCGATCCCAGGACCCTGCGATCATGACCTGAGCCGAAGGCAGACGCTTAACGACTGAGCCACCCAGATGCCCCTCATTGGGGTTTAAATGTACTTTTGTATGAATCTGAATGAGATTGAGCATATTTTCATGGGCCATGTTAATCTATAAAATGGTACTTCATCTTTCTTGCTCTTTTGAAGGTACTCCCTTTACCATGATTATGAAAACTTTACCAATAGTTTCTCCTTTTGTTAATTTTTTTACCTTAAGCTCCTTAAATTTTGAGTATCTTGTGAAGAAAGTATTTAATCATTTATAGCTAATTCCTCCAACATAACTTATTGTAATTTATATCTTTTTCTCACTGCATGGAATCTTCATTTTTATCACATAACGAATTGATAGAAATCAATCCGTCTTTTTTTTTTTTTTTTAATTGTTCTCCCTTATACTGTCCTATTGTCTGTTCGTGCACCAAAACATTTTTTTTCACTTCGGGTTTTTCTGTAGTAAGTTCTGATAACTAGTGGAGCAAATAATCACCTCATTTCTATCCTTTTACACATTTTATTTTGGCTATTTTTATGCATTTTATCTTCCTGAAGATATTTAGGACTAACTTGTCAGGTTTTCATTGAAAAACCTGGATATTTGATTGGAATAACATTGGGAAAAGTTTGGATTTATCAGTTAAGTTTGTAGAGAATTAGCATTTATAAATATTAAGTTTTCACATCCAAGAGCTTATGTGTTCTTCAACAAAATTTTCTTTTTCTTCATATGGGTCTCACACATTTCTGGTGAGGTTTATTTTATATATTTTCCCTGCTATTTTGACGTATATGGGATTCCCCCCCCCGCCCGGACATTTTCAGATTGGTTCCTGCTAGTGTATAGGAAGATTATTGTTTGTATGCTCCTGCCCCTCAGCACTCAGTGGACTCTCTCCATCTGTTAGATTATGGGGCTCATGAAGCCCTCTCAGGTGTTTTCAAGGGTCAAGTAGATCCCAGGCAAATGGTGTTAATAAGGCATAAGAGTATAAAAATAATAAATCCTTTCACAGATTCCAAGAGTCAACTTCTCTGTGTCTTTTGGACCTCTTGAGTTATAAGGGAGCACAGCATCAGGCAAGGCAGGAAGCCTTCTAGCTCCCCACATCACACGTCAAGATGGCGGATCCCTTGGTCTTTGGCATTGGCTCTGGGGCTACAAGCTGCTGAGTGGGGCTTATTGTGTGATGGATGTTCAAAGGCATGTGGAGAGCAGATCTCTGCCTCGGGTGAAGGCCACCGGGGCAGAGAAAAGAGTAGGGGCTTTTGTTCTTAGGTTCAAACCCTACTACTATCACTTGCTGTATATAATTGAGGAAGGGACTAAGTTCTCTGGGCTTCAGATGTTAATGCCTTCTTTGCTGTCTGTGCATCTCTCATATTAAATGGAGCTTTCTATGAGGTGCCTGGTATTCAGTAAGTGCCCAGTGAATGGTGGCCCTTGTTATTCTTAAGATGATGGTGGTGGAGAAGGACTTTGAGTCTGACAAGCCTGCTTTTGAGCCCTGGCTCTGCTACATCCTGATGGCATGACGGTGGACAAGCTATTTGGATTTCTTAAGCTCCGGTTTCCTCAAAGTTGGTCTGGTGACACTTTAAGGATTCAGTGAGAATATGTAGGTGTTAGTTCTCTGTGAACTGCCATATTTCATGTAATGGTAGCTGGTGATGTCATTTCTGTCATTCTTCCTTCTAGGGGCAAGATAAAAAGTTCCCATTGAGATGCTGAGAAATATATTTTATTAGCTCACATTAAAGTCACATTTCTAATTATAATCTTTAGAGGAGCTTCAAATAACATTTGTGTCCTGTGAAGAATGTTAAGATTTTGAATGGCTGGATTTGTGTGTGTTTTAAATATGTCCTCAACTAGCTTTTCCCCATAAATATATGGAATGAGGATCCCAGGTAATGATCTAAACTGTCTGCTCAAATCCTAGTGTCTAACTGCTCTCACAAACCTGAGCAACACGGGACACTGCTTTTCAAAGGCGTAACGAGACCAACTTACAACGTTGATTTTGTACCTCAAGCCACACCACCATGGATTACTTTGAGAAACAATGAAGACCTCTCAGTTGCTTGGGCCCGATATATTTTGAGTCTCATTAGCAGAGTTGAAATAATCCATTTCATTTATTCATTGCACTTAGGCTAGCATGGAGAGAGGTAGTTCAATTATTGTTAATAAAGAAAATCAATTGATTATCACAAATTTTGAGTTGGAGTCAGAAGGTTTTTTTGTTTTTTGTTTTTTGTTTTTTCAGGTGGGGAGGAACAGAGGGAGAGGGGGAGAGAGAGAGAATCTTAAGCAGGCTCCATGCCTAGCATAGAGCCAAATGTGGGTCTTGATCTCCACAACCCCGAGATGGTGACATGAACCAAAATCAAAAGTTGGATGCTTAACTAACTGAGCTACTCAGGCGCCCCTGGAATCAGAATTTAAAATTGGACAAGGTGGGTTGGGGTGTGAGAGCTAACATTTCATTGAAGGAAACCTTATTTGCAGAGGCACTGTTTCTATAGTATCTGCAACCAAACAGTGGCTGATGTGCACATTCTAGAGGACAAGCCAGATGCTAACCAGCCCCCAAGATGTGGCCACCATGTATCCATCTATCCTTGAAAAAAAAAAAAAATGAGTGCTTTGTAGTCATTAGAAGTAATGAATGTTTCCAAGTGGAGCTTTAAGACTGCCAATTAGATAATTCATCACACTTGTTGCCAGTACACACAAGCTTTAAATTTGCTGCTCAATGATTTTCAAAGAAGTAACTTACCTTAAGGGTTGACTGGAATAATACCTCTTCAAATGCATATGGAAATGAGATGCACAAGTGGACCAGGGCTTGATTCACAGGCAAGCAGCTTGGAGATACTGACTCTTGTTTACTAAACACAGTGTGGCTCACCTGATTTTTCACACCGACAGGTGGTGAAAGGCTCTGTGAGTGAGGTCAGAGGCACGTCCCCACCCTGCTTGTGGAAGACCTTTGTCACTGATGGAGAGGTGAAGATTGGCAGTTCATTGGAAGGTGTTTGTTAAACTTGGGTTTTAATAGTGTGCGTTTTTTTCCCCAGGTCTCATGTTTAGGACAGAAACAGGATTGTACCTGAGGGAAAGGATATGAGTAGAAGACATTCATCTCATCTTGCTCAGGTTTGGGCACACCTGCTTCTTGTACACAGAAGAAGCTGAGAGGGACAGGGGAAAGCAGAGTAGGGATCACTGCTTAGCCCAGATCCAATTCAGGGCAAGAGAACCCTAGATCAGTGGTTCTGAAGTCAGGATGCACTTTAGAATCACTTAGAGAGCTTTAAAAAAATACAGATGCTTGTGGGGGGAAGCCTGGGTGCTCAGTCAGTTAAGCATCTCACCCTTGGTTTCAGCTCAGGTCATGATCTTGGGGTCCTGGGTTCAATCCCCTTATTGGGCTTGGGGAGTTTGCTTGTCCCTCTCCTTCTGCTCCTCCCCCTGTGTGTTCTCTCTCTCTCTGGAATAAATAAAAGCTTAAAAAAAAATACAGGTGCTTGGGCTCCACTCAGATCAGTTCAACCATAGCCTCTGACCTGGACACTAGTGTTTATTTTTTATTTTTATTTTTTAAAGATTTTATTTATTTGAGAGAGCGAGAGCGAGAGAGAGAGAAGGAGCAGGATGAGGGGCAGAGGGACAAGCAGACTCCCCGCTGAGGAGGGAGCCCGACATGGGGCTCGATCCCAGGACCCTGAGATCATGCATGACCTGAGCCAAAGTCAGATGCTTAACTGCCTGAGCCACCCAGGTGTCCCTGGACACTAGTGTTTATTATGAGCTCTCTGGTTACTTCCAGCTTAAAATAGCACATCTGGAGTAAGGACTATTCATTGTCTCAAAGATGAGTTAGTTCTCATTGATCCCAACCAATGGGAAGCAAACCGGTAATCCTTACTTGTTCAGACAATGGTACTGTGAAGGTTTAAAGTTATAGATTCAAAGAAAAAATAAAAATGTATGGAAGGTGACAGGTGTGAGTTCTTAACCTGAGATCATAGGGGTTCCATCACCCCCTGAAACTGCATGCCAAGCTTTGAGCAAATGTAGGTCTCTATATTTGAGGAATGGGGTGACAGGGGGAAAGGGTTCATCCCCTTTAGAGGATTCCCAAAGGAAGCCACAGACAACAAATATTTTAGGAACTGCTGAGGGGAAAAAACACCTTCATGAAATTCATGCCCATTCCAATGAATGTGTGTGAAAGACACACACATACAGTTTTGAAGAAAGAAAACTTATAGGTGGGAGGGTCCTGAGTGCTCCCCCAAACTTTCACTGTTCTCCCACTGTTCCCCACGCTAACTGCCATGGTCACCCGTTCCTGGTGCCTGTGAGAGCTCCCACCTAACAATTCTGACCCCGTGAAAATCACCTTTCCTTGATATACCTTAGCACAGTGGAGTGAGTGCAATCTTCTTAAAACTACAAATGATGAAACCGAACAAATAATTAAGATGATCAACCAATGAAGGAAATGATAGCAGGTCAGATGGAGAATCTCTCTCTCTCTCCCTCTTTTTTGAAAATTTCAGATGGAGAGTCTTTTAATTCTTACTATGCTCATGCTCCAAATTTCTGTCTCACTTCCCATATATCTTAACTGGCTTCCCCCCAACCCTCCATCTCCTCTTGGCCCAGGACCCTCTTACTTCTGGCTACATGGGAACATTCTCATGAGCCAATGTCCCTGGCAGATCAGTGAGAGATTGTTGCAGTTTCTAAAATGTGGGACATGCCTCATGCCTTCAGCACCTTTCAACTTCAGTCTGTTTTCAAAGCAAAAATGGAAAAGCGGTTTGAACTCACCCGCTAAATCCTACCAGTTGATAAGGAAATCCTAGCAGAACTTCTTAAACTGAAAGGGGCATTTGAATCCCAAGGCTATCTTGCTAAAGATTCTGATTCCCTCTGAGAATCGCTGTCCGTGGCAAGATCCTAAAGGAGTCTGTTGCAGATGACTCCGAGGTTGGGACCCTTTGGCACTGTCTGCCACCGGGCTGGGGATTTGACAGACCAGGTGACAGTCCTTGTTTCAAGTTATCAGCCCTGCTTCCCCCTAGAACACTCTGTAGTTGCTGCAGCTGTGTCATTGTGGTGGGCTCTGTGCTTTCCCTACCATTGCTGATCTCATGCCTTCCATTAGCTCAGGAAGATGGCCTTGTCCCTACCATCAAGGGACAGCTCCCATTACAGCGCTGCCTTCAGTCTGCTGGAGAGCTGATCTTGGCAGATCCTTGCAAGCTCCTCCCCTCTGCTGATTGGATGGGTTTGGAGACTTATTGCTGCCCCAGTCCAAGCAGTACGACCAGAGCCCTGGTGTCCCACGAGCATCAGTCTGCCCCCAACCAGGCACTTGGTCTTTTTGTCTGCTGGGTCTGGAGCCCAGGCTGGAAACCTAGATGTGGTCTCGCCTCCCTTCTCCCGAGGTCTGCTGCTGAAACTGCTGGTCCAGCCCAGATGGAGCATGAAGGTGAGATGCTGACCACATGGGATGATGGAACCGAGACGCTGAGACACAACACCTTGCCCCATTTTGCCAGACGGCTGCCCCTGGGGCTGATGCCAATCCCCCCAGCACCAGTATTAACTCTGCTGCTTTGATGTGGTGAGTCAGACGTCCCTGGGTCTTGCTGTGCCAGCCCTGGAAGCTGCTGGTGTGTTCAGTGGTTGCTATTATTAGTAGTACTAGTAGTAATAAAAAAGAAGTCACAATTAGCATTTATTCAGTGCTCCCTACGCTGTAAGCACTGGACTCAGCATATCACAATTGTTGTTACATTTAATCCTCCAAAGAACCCTATGAGATCGTTTCTTTTTTTTGGGCACAATTTCCCCCATGGGGAAACTGAAGCCCAGAAAGGTTAAGTTACTTGTCCAAGGTCACTCAGATAGTAAGAAGCAGAGTGAGGGGCGCCTGGGTGGCTCAGTTGGTTAAGCGACTGCCTTCGGCTCAGGTCATGATCCTGGAGTCCCTGGATCGAGTCCCGCATCGGGCTCCCTGCTCGGCAGGGAGTCTGCTTCTCCCTCTGACCCTCCCCCCTCTCATGTGCTCTCTCTCATTCTCTCTCAAATAAATAAATAAAATCTTTAAAAAAAAAAAAAGAAGCAGAGTGAGATGGGAAGTCACAGTCTTCAGACTAAAAGCCCCTGCTTCTAACCACTATGACGCCCTGTCTCTGCTGCCAAGTGCCAAGCCTGTCCCTGATTGACAACTGCTAGAACTTCAACGTAAAAACAAAGCAAAAAAAACCAAAAAACAAAAAAAACCCCCAAAAAACAAAAAAACAAATTAAAAAAACACCGAAACACTAGTGAGTTTCTTTTAGAAGCTGCCAAACGTCATCTGATCCTGCAGCATTTGTGCTCTGGGCTCTGCATAAACAGAGTTCTCCAAAGTTTGTGGGCACACTTTCTGCATATAGATGGCTGCTCGCAGTTTAAATACCCCAGAAGGGAGTTGATACCTTCTGTCATCCCTGATTGGTGCAGGGAGTTAGTAAGGAAACATGACCAGCAGTCGGTGGAAATCATGAAGAATTTCATGCCCAGTGATTGTAAAACTATATATAAATATAGTTTTAATTTATTTAAATAAATATATAAAAACAATAGATGAGCTAATAGGGCCTCGGCCCGGAGCCGCCATATGTCAGTGGAAGGCAGGAGCCGTGGGACAGTTGCCTTCCTAGCCTGAATAAGAATATTTGGTCCAATTGCCAAGAACTTTGGCCTCTCTTGGCATGGGAGAGCCCTGGCGTACTGCAGCCGTGCCACATGGAAATGCTGCTGGACAGTTCAGCCTTTGCCAAAAAATAACACGCCAGAATGGTTTCTATAGCATTGGTTGCTACTGCTTTGCATCTGCATTGCATTTGTCCTTACGGATGTTGCAAAAGTTTCTAAGTACTTTCTGCATGCCAGTTATCATCTGAGGGATCTCTCGGGGCTTTGTGTATGGCATCTTCTGGTCCCTCCTTTTGCAAGGGACACTGGTGCCTGGGAGGAGCACTTCCTAATGAGACTGTGCAGCCCCAGGCTGAGTGCTGACAGCGGTTCTCTGGCTGGGTTCTTTGGTGGTGAGCAATAGAAACCAACTCCGGCTGATTCCAGAAGGAAAGAATGGGTGCTTATTGGAAAGCATGTGGTAGGTTTACAAAAGGAAAACCCGAGGAAGCAGACACAGGACAGGAGAGGACATAGACAAGCTCAAGAAATCTAGACATCAGGACCTAAAGCTCTGCCTTTCAAACTGCTCATTGTTGGGATGAAGCCATTCATTCTTCCTCTTGAGTTAGCCAGTCGAAATTCTTGGGGTGGGGAGCATTTGACCTTCTTTACTTCAGTCAAGAGGCCACTTTGGGGGCTAAGGAGGGGAAACATCTTGACTGATCATTCTGTTGTGGTGGCTGATTGCCAAAGGGGCCTCAATTATCCCCCTCCTATTAATTATCTCCCTCCTATTATCCATGCCCCTCCTTTTTCAGTAGGCTCTATGCCCCATGTTGGTCATGAGTTCATGACCCCGAGATCAAGAGTCACGCACTCTGCAGACTGAGCCAGCCAGGCATATCCCTGACCCTTTAACAAACATGACTTTGCAGCTTGTTCCATCAAGGGGAGGTGTTTGTGTCCCCACCCTTGAACTTGGACTGGCCCAGTGACTTGCTTCGGCAAGAGCAGGTGGCATGCCTTGAAGTGAGGCTCAGGGGGCTCAGAAGCTTCTGCTCCCTTTCCTGGAAGCTTGTCAGTCCCTGAGAGTGAATCCTGGGTAGCATGATGGAAGATGAGAGGCGTGGCGTGGAAGTGAGTTGTCCCAGCTGAGGTCATCTTAGCCAGGGTATCCACTATCTGCTATCGTGCATCAGATTATTCCCCAAACTAGTGGCTTAAAACAACAATGGACGTTGATTACCTCACACAGCTTCTGAAGTCAGGAATCCAGCTGGAGCTTAGAGGAAGTTCTGGCCTGAGCTTTCAGATTAGATGCAGGCTGGGCCTGGAGTCTTCTGAGGCTGGAGGATTCACTTCCAAGGTGACCCCCTCCATGGCTGGCAACTTGGTGTTGCTTGTTGGCTGGAGGCCTCTGTTACTCCCTAGGATAGCCTCTCTCCACAGGCAACAAGACGGCTGCCCCCCCTCCCGCCCCTCCCCACTTCAGAGCAAGCAATCCAAGAGGGCAAGCTGGAAGTGGCAGGGCCTTTGAGGACCTAGCCTCAGAAGCCTCCTGCCTTCACTGCTCTGACACCTTCTGCTTATTAGAAATGAGTCACTAGGTTCGGCCCATATTCAAAGGAAGGGGGATTAGGTTTCACCTTTTGAAAGGAAGAATGTGGAAGAATTTTCAGACACATCTTAAAACCACCCCAAAGAGCAAGCCCCCAGTAACCCCTCCAGCTGACCACAGATTCCTAGGTAAGCCCCCAGCGTCAGCCAGCCCAGCCCACATCCGCAGAACTTGCCAGCTAACCTGCAGACCCATGGGCAAAATCAGTGCATGTTTTAAATCACTAGGTTTTGCCATGGTTGGCTAGATAGCAGGACTTAATTAAGATACCTACTGAGACTGTGTGCAGTGAGGGAAGGCTAATTTTCTTTTCTTTTAAAATTTTATTTATTTATTTGAGAGAGAGAATGAGTACAAGCAGGGGCAGAGGGAGAGGGAGAAGCAGACTCCCCATTGAGCTGGGAGCCCAATGTGGGGCTTGATCTCAGGACCTGGAGATCATGACCTGAGCCGAAGCAGACACTTAGCCATCTGAGCCACCCGGGTGCCCCAAGGGAAGGCTAATTTTCTAAAGGAGGGTCAGGATGCTACCAGGCACAGAGATCTGCTAAAATACTTGTCTTTACAGAACCTTGACAGTTTTTTTTTTTTTTTAAGATTTATTTATTTTAGAGAAAAAGAGAGTACATGCACACACAAATGGGGGTGGGGAGGAGCAGTGGGAGAGGGAGAGAATCCCAAGCCGACTCTGCGCTGAGCACGGATCCTGACACAGGGCTCAATCTCCTGACCCTGAGATCATGACCTGAGCCAAAACCAAGAGTCAGATGCTTAGCCAACTGAACCACCCAGGCACCCCAAACCTTGACAGTTCTATAAAGGCATGGCACAGATAGATGTCATAGTGTGAAACAATCATAGCAGTAGAAGCATTTCAAGGTCCAGAGTTATCACAGATTATAAGCTCCCAGTACATAAAGGTCATGTTTACCTTGAGTAGCCCTGCAAAGTAGACCACAGTGTAGATACTCAGTGACTGACTCTTAATACAGGAAGAGGATGGTTGACACTGGAGGTCCTTCCTAAGAGTTAACCATCTGAGCATGGTTTTAAAAGTGCAATAGGAATTTCTGAATTACTCAGTAGTAATTACTAAATTATTCAGAGGGCTTTGAATATGCAACACCTTGGAGGTGTGGAGCAGTGTGGCATAATTTAGAAACTAGTGGTGTGGAATTCCTAGAATGTGAGGTCCAAAGACACACTGGTGGAAAACGAGTATAAGGAGGTAGGAAAGGGACAGAGTGTCAAAAGCTTTCCATGTAGTTGGTCATTCATCCTTGTGTTCCCAGGACAGTGTGAGTTGATGTATGCTGTCCGGGTGTAATTATTAATAGGGCTCCCTTTCACTGTCAAAAAAGTCCTGGTTTGGGCAATAAATTCTATGGTCAGTGTGATCCTGTGCTGTGATGAGAAGAACCAGTGTCCACAGGTTAATCAGTGACTGGGCTTTTCGCTCTACAATGAAACAATGAAAAGACATAACGTTTTTTGAGTTGAGAACGCTTTTGTGAGAAAAATAAGAATCAAGGAAATTCTTTTTTCTAATACTTTATTTATTTATTTGAGAGAGAGAGAGAGAGAGATCACGAGCAGGGGGACGGGTAGAGGGAGAAGCAGACTCACTGCTGAGCAGGGAGCTTGATGCGGAGCTCGATCCCAGGACTCTAGGATCATGACCTGAGCTGAAGGCAGATGTTTAACTGACTAAGCCACCCAGGCGCCCTCAAGGAAATTATTTCTAGTGAGTGATTGCCAAGGCAAGACTTTCAAAAAAGCCTTCTTAATCCTATTTTCCATGAGATTGTATTTTAATGTTTTATATGGGTCCTGTTAGGAACGTGAACTTAATTTTTAATATGAACTGACAATTTTCTTTTACTATATGTACCAATTAAGGACTTTTATGACAGGACTATTGTTTGGAAAAGTTGTGTAAAAGAATTAGATTTTTTTTTTTTTCTGATCCGAGAAAATAGTCATGGAAGAAACTTCATTGTTTTTCTTTTTCTACATACTATTTAATTACAAAAGTAATGCTCCTGATAAGGACTCAAGTGATACAGAGATTTACTATAAAAATTATTATTCAATTCCCTCCTGATTTTCAATTAATCCCACTGAGTTAGCTAATGTACTTTCTTACCTACAAAGTTATCAGGATATTGTCATATGTTTTACTGAAATATTCTATAGTTTTATTAATAATGTTATGTTTGGGCATTTAAATATGGGTAAAATTTTTGGATATGATGTGAGATAAGAATTCAATTTTGCTTTCTTATTAGACACTTTTAATCACTAATTTGAAATGCCTTTCT